GCCCAGCAGGTCAAGGCTGCGGTGGCCGGGAGCGACCACTGCACTCCAGTCTGGGCGACAGAGTGAGACTCCAACTCAAAAAACAAACAAACAAACAAACAAAAAAACAAATCATAGCACCCATTTCCCCTTCCACCATGCCCTGGCAACCACCATTCTACTTTCTGTACTCGCTGTACTTTCTTTCTGAATTTGATTACTCTGTGTATTTATAAATAAGAGCAATTATAAAGTATTTATCCTGTTGTGACTGGCTTATTTTATTCAGCTTAATGTCCTCAAGATTCATCTATGTGGTAGCATGTGTCAGAATTTCCTTCTTTTTTTAAGGCTGAATAATATTTCATTGTATGAATACACCACGTTTTGTTTAACCATTCATTTACCAATGGATACTTGGGTTACTTCCACCTTTTGTCTGTTTATAAATAATATTATAAACATGGATGTACAAGTATCTCTTTGAGATTCTGCTTTTCATTCTTTTGGGTATATACCCAGAGTGAAATTTCTGAATCATATGTGGTGATTCTATTTTTAATTTTTTTGAGGAAGCTCCATACTGTTTCCCATTGTGGCTGCACCATTTTACATTCCTGCCAACAGTGCTCAGTTGTTCTACAGCCTCACCAACACTTGTTATTTTCTGTATTTTTTATAATAGCCACTCTAATAGGTGTGAAGTGATAGATCATTGTGGTTATAATTTGTATTTCCTCAATTATTAGTGACTTTGAGCATCTTTTCACGTGCTTGCTGAAATTTTTGATGTCGTATTTAAAAAAATTAATGCTAGAAAGTCCATGGTGATCAAAATATCACAATTTTAAATAAAGACAAGCTCCAACAATGCTGTGTGAGGCCATATCGAAGCCTGAAGCAAATGAAAAATGTATGGATCTATGGACATGTTTTTATTTCTTATTTTAATGATTAATTTGTGTTCAGGTTATTACTTAACTGAAAAATATTGAAAAATTAAAGCATAAGTGTATTAGAATGCATTATTTTAAGTTAAATTTTTGTTACTTCTTGGCAAAAATAAAGTTGTTATTCATCAAATAGACTTTAGATTTTCTTTCATTCTTTTCTTTTTTTGAGTTGGAGCCTCACTGTGTCACCCAGACTGAACTGCAGTGGCACTCTCTGGCCACCACACCCTTGACCTACTGGGCTCCAGCAATCCTTCTGCCTCAGCCTTCCAAGTAGCCAGAACTACAGGTGCACACTACCACACTCAGCTAATTTTTTGGTTTATAGTAGAGATGAGATCTCACCAAGTTGCCCAGGCGGGTCTTGAGCCTGTGGTCTCAGGCAATCCACTCGCCTTGGCCTCCCAAAGTCCTGGGATTACAGGCTGAGCCACTGAGCCTGGGCATTAAATAGACTTTCAAAGTTACTTTCTCTCATTAGTTATATCTTACTACTCTCAATTGAAAATGAGATAGGAAAAGGAGCAGATTTTGAAAATACTCTTTAATTGATGAATTTACTTTAATTA